TGAATTTTAGGATGCAGCCTTCCGTTTGAGAAGCACCATTCACCTCCCTCATGCTCGCTAAAAGCCGTAATTACAAGAGTTGTGAGATAAAAGATTATTTTAATTTTTATTACCATTCGCCTCCCTCGTGCTCGCTAAAAGTGATTAGAAGTCTGATTAGTTTCCTGATTCGGATAGATAGTTTTAATGAACCAGTTCAAAAAAACGATTCAGGGGTTGATTCCCATCAACTCCAGAACCAGGAATCGAAATCGAACAGCCCTAGTGCTTGCCGCGCGTCTACATTTGAAATAACGAACCTGAGCGCGCAAAAGACGTGATGGTAATGGCTTTTTTCCCCTGCATGTCGTGTGCGGGGCTCCGTTTTTTATGATGAGAGGAGAGGAAAGCTTGAGAAAGCACTCCAGGTAAATTTTGAAATGTACCAGGTTTATATATAAAGTTGATAAGCAGTTAAAGGGGTCATATGATGCTGCTAAAAAGAGCATTATTTTGTGTATTTGGTGTAATGAAATGTGTTTATGTGGTTTAAGGTTAAAAAAACACATTATTTTCCACATACTGTACATTATTGTTTCTCCTCTATGCCCCGCCTTTTTGAAACGAGTCGATTTTTACAAAGCTCATCGGTCTGAAAAAGCGAGGTAAATGTGTTGGTTTACACACAAATAAAAGTGTAAGCTTTTAATAAGTCCAAGAATAAAATGATAAATTTTCTTAGCATGTTAAATTTGATTTACAGAAATTTTGTGCTGTTTTCTAACATTTTGGACTTGAATAAAGAGAGTAAACTTGCACTTAAACTTTTCACAGGCATTTTGTTTTCATAGTTAGACAGATATAAGTTCCTTGATTATTACGCCGGAATGAGAGTATAGTTCCTAACCATATCGGCCTTGAAAATCGCAACTTTTCATTTTCCGTCGGTCTTAGTACACGATGTAACATTCAAAAAGACGGTCAGTCTCTGCATTACATTCTTCAAGTGGACACTTTTAAAACGTTAAAAACAATTAATGACAGCGACATTATCTGACAACCTCATCACTGATTTTTCTTTCCCTCTGGTCTCTTTCTCTTTTTTCTTTCTTCTGTCTCTCTCGCTCTCACTCCCTCTTTCTTTGTGTTTTGTGTTAGTTGCTGGCTGTCTCTGGAAGGCGGATTGTTGTACGCATTTGTGGGACCAGCTGCTGCTGTCGTCTTGGTACAATTTCTCTCTGTGTTTGATTTATTCACAGAAATTTTCTGTCCCTCATTTCCAGACTCAATGTTTAATGTTGCTAGCATCACTGCACCCAACCATAGAATTTTACAATAAATAAACCACCACAAGCTCTTATGAATGAGAATGCAGACAGTTCCAGATTTCACCCTCATAACTCCACAACATAATATCCAGCAAACACGTGTTTCAGTAGATCTGTTTAAACACAACGTATGCTAAGCGTGCCAAGTGTGGACATAATAGTCATTACACCGCTGCAGATTAATTAAACAAGATCTGGGCTTAGACTATATTAACATGGATTACAGCGATATCTATCGTATTCAATAACAGGTTTCATTTTGTCAGACAGTATAATGGTGAATTTTATATACAGTCTCATAAGAAATGTCATTCTAATGCAATTTTTCTCTGTTCAACCAAAACATCTCTAAGTAGCTAGTTTTTTTAATTGTTCAGAAGATTCTGTAAATTTTTAAAATTGTATATTCATATTACAATTAAAAATTCCAAGTGTACATTTAGTATTAGTATTTGCTGTACTGTCAAAAATTGGTATTCAAAATCATAACTTTTGGAAATTGACTCCTGAAATATTGGTATTATCACAATCCTAGTGCAGAAGTAGCTTGAATAACAACATATTCTGATATTTTTATTGACAGTACTGTTACAACATTTTAAAATAGAACAAAACCACAAGTTAAATGGGCCTTTATAGAAATATACATCACATTGGAGACTATAGGACCATTTCTCTATTGTGAGTCTGGGCTGGATCTTAATATGCACATGTGTTCACCTTTCTCCTCTCTCTTTACCAGGTTAACATGGTTATCGGGATTCTGGTTTTTAACAAACTGGTGTCTAAAGATGGCATAACTGATATGAAACTCAAGGAGAGGGCCGGGTATGCCTCACAGCACTCATTCATCTCATTGGCTGACCTCTAACCAGCTCTGAGAAAGAGATTCATTGGCCAGACCTTTCATAACATCTCTCCCCTCTCCAGAAGAACATGTATTGTCATGAGTGAATTAGAGACACTACAAAAAATTACTTTCTTAAAATAATCATATTAAAATGACCTTAAACATCCTTAAAACAGGAAACTAATATGATTGTTTTCAGAAACTATTCCTTGAGTTCTTCTATACCTTGAGTTTTACAGATAAATTGGCAATCAAAATTAGCAAGGTTTGTGCTTAAAAGTAGAAAAAAAAAAAAAATTTCATCAGAAGAGAGGGGAAGAGATCGCAAAGTACTGGTTATTGGTCCCGTCAAAAGCAAGATGACATTTCTGCTCACTCATTGCATTTCTTTTACATTTCCGTTGGTGATTTGCCATGTGTCGCTTAATCATTTCTCCAGCTTCTCTTGATTTTTAGGTGTTGCTGTGCATCTTGATACAAAGCTGTTTAAATCCATGTGTGCCATGTTTCTGTGTGTGAAATGTTTATTTGAGGGGCAGTCACAAAGGAGCCGGCAAAGGAAATCTGACATCTGTCAGCTTCATGCGTCTGATCGATAGCACTCAGGCTGAGCGAATTTCTCGTTTTATATCCATTGATTTTGACAAGTTTTCAGTCGTGTGAGTTAAATGTCATTGAAGCTGAAGTATGAACCGAGAATTGTTATTATAAACCTCATTATAAGGGTTTCACAATCGTACACTGTCCATCTCCGTGCCATGGACCATCAATTACACACTGGAATTGTTAATCTTCCAAGATTCACATGCCTTCTACCAATCAGGCTTCAGAGCGTAAACATGGCCTGAGATTTATTACCGAGAAGACGAATATTACTCATTACTCGTTATGACTCATGATTGACTGTCTGTGTTTCCTTTTCTGGGCTGGGCTCCACTGCCTGCAGGCTGACGCGTGCCCTTACTGGCATCTTTTTGCATCCAACTGTTTTCTTTCCCTTGTCCTTATCTTTCCTTTGTGTTTTTACATTATTATTATGAATATTTCATTTCAACTATGTGTTTGCCTCTGCTATGATCTCTCTGATCGACTGTGTTTGTTTTTGTGCTCTTTGAAACATTGTATCAGAGTTACCACAGCATCCCCTCGCTCACACTCAGGGCTCTCCTCTCTGCCCCGCCCACCCGACACTGATTGGCTGAGATGCAGGTCCGTCCACCCTCTAATTTAGTCTCTCCCACAATACACAGTTTTATATTAGTGCTTAAAATTGCCTGATGTCATCATAATGGGCTTTTAGGACTGTCCATTTTCTGAATAATTCTGATGGCATGCTGGTTAGATTAAATGTGCTTTAGATTATACATTTAGATTTAGAATAGCTTTAGATTCAGTTTTCTTATTCTTGTGTGGATCCATAAATTAGTTTGTGTGTGTGTGTGTGTGTGTGTGTGTGTGTGTGTGTGTTTGCAATTCCAAAACTCTTATCAATATGTTTGCTTGAGTATTTTCCAGCCGCATTGCATTCTCTGCGGAAACCGATTAACTCAAGGCTGGCTGCCGTTGTTTGGTGCTGATAGATGGGAAGGGTGAATTAGATTTAGAGGGAGGATTTTTTAATTCTTTTTCACTTTTTCTTCCCTCCCTCGCCCTTGTTCTTAAACGCAGCATTTTTCATTAGCCTAATTAATAAGCGCTGCTGTTAATTATGCTTAGTAAAGGAGTAGCACTTTGGATAGTCTCTGTTCACCTGTAAATGCTGGCATTTTCTTCAGTATTAGAGTATTAAAGTGCATTTTGACAAATTGTCGTGGCTCTCATCAAGAATTTATGCATTGGTTTATTACCTGCGGCAAGACAAAACAAAAGATTAACTGTTTCAAAAATGGAGGGTACAATAAATGAGAAAGTGTGTTTCAATATTTGGTAAAGGATCATATCAGCTCGGTCTTTGAAGTCCCTCCACCTCCACGAGGACTAGCATGTAATTAAAAAAATGCTGATTGCTTTTTAATATCACTGACTGTAGTGAGGTTTTATTGGTCACATTGGCCTTTTGCTTGGAATTGAATTTTTTATGTGGGGTTTAATCTACATGTCCGCCAGTAGCAGAATCAACTTCCTATCCGTTTGGGCAGCCATGCCAAGCTGATGGCTTTAATTGTTTTTTTGCATGTGGCTATTTTGTGTACAACAGCATTACATACACTACCGTTCAAAAATTTGGAGGCAGTATTTTTTCTTTCAAAGTTTTTATTTGTCATAGAATTCATTTTCTACAAAAAATATTAAGCAACACATCGATTTCAACTGTGATAAGAAATGTTTATTGAGCACCAAATCAGCATATTAGAATTATTTCTGAAGGATCATGTGACACTGAAGTCTGGAGTAATTGCTGCTTATATTTCAGCTTTGCCATCACAGACAAAAAATTTATTTTAAAATATATTAGAAAATAGACAGTAACTTTAAATTGTAATAATATATTTAACCATGTTACTCTTTTTACTGTATTTTGGCTAACATTTTGGACTGTTAAACAATGCAGCTTCTCTTATTTTTATTTTATTTTTTTTCTGAAAAGGGAATGCATATTTTGCATATTTTTCACATTTCGTAAGCAAATATTAAAATGCATTTAAGATCCTCTGTAGAAGCATATTTTAAAAATCTCAAATACGGTTGTATGCTGTACTGAAAACATGATTGTGTGCTGCAGTTTATTAAAACAAAACAAGCCACACACATATATATATGCAGAGTTCGATATTGACAGTTATGACTGTGGATGACTTTAATGTCTCTCCTAAAATGACCGTGATTTAGCTTGAGTCTGTGAATGCACGATCTCCGGCTGTCAACACGCATGAATGTTTGTGTGTATGTTTTTCAGCCTTTTTCGAGTTCCCATGTCTCTCTCCAGGGCCCAAAGACAGATGCAGAGTGGGACTGATAAACTGCTCACAGCCTAAATCAAGCAAATTCCATATGGCATACTAATTCAAAAGAATATTTTGATGTCATTGATATGACAGAATCAGAATCTTATCATGTAGCATTTTACATAGACTGTCAGTGGAAATAAATGATGGTAATCTATACGTACATGCACTGCATATAGAGTTAATTTTTTTCTCGCTAGCTGTTTGTCCCACATGTTCAGTCAGGCCTATTTAGATACGAAACTAACGTGACGGCATCTTTTCTATTATCCCCGCACTCTTCCCAAAGCCTCGACAGAGATCTGCCCTGAGTGAGAGCTGTTGATGCTCTGCCTTCGGTTCTATTTTCCTTTCTTTCTACATATTTCTTACCTCACCCTTCTTTTTCTTTTTCTGGTTTTCTCCCCCATTCATTTCCCTCACCCTGCTATTGCTCCTTAGCTGTTATGTCAAAAGTGATCAGCAGAGACAGAGCTTTTATGTTGTCGCAGTGCTAAATCATGCAGATGCAATATAGGAGCTCATCTTGAAGCCCTGCTGTGTATGTTTGTGAGTGTGCAAGCGTGTTTGACCAGACAGTTCCTTGCTAGAGATTACCATGGTAACCATAATTTCTGTCAAAGTAGCATAGTTTTAGTTATAAGAAATTACTTTTAGGCATTTGGCAGACATTTTCATCCAAAACAACTTTCAGTGCATTCAGTTTGTGCATTCCCTGGGATTCAAACCCATGGGTTTCTGTAATTGAAATAAGGCTTTAAAAAAATGATTATAAATATTAGATAAAAAATTTACATTTTAAGTGTTGCTTTGGCAACTACCTGAAATAAGTACTAAAATTACCAAATATAAAAAATCTACAACTGAAGTAAAATAAAATAAAGCGAAATAGAAATATAAAAATTTTTAAATGACAAAAGCACATAACAAAATTATTTAAAAAAATAAATAAAAAAAAATGAAAGGCTCATTCAAAATTATATACTTTAATACTATAGAAGTAATACTAACCCAAAAAAAAAAAAAAAACCGCTGGTAATATTCTGATAAAACATGCTAATTTCAGCACATTTATACACATCCCAGTTGGTATAATTCAGATGAATTAGATTATATTACATACTGTGTACTGTATGTAGTGTATATCACGAGATTTTAAAACTCATATTGGACAATCACTATACTAAAAAAACATGTAGAAACAGTTTTCACTCAGAAATTGATATTTAATAACAAATAAAGTAGAAAAACTCAAATAGTATTTTCTTGTAAAATGTCCCCCAATTATCCTTGTTTTACTTTCAACTTCGAAATATTATAGATTTTTTTATGGTGTAGCCTTAAAATATTACTGGAATTTTTCTGCATCTCTGCATTTTTCTTTTTTTTTTAGTCTTGTGATGACAGTAATGGCCAAATATTCTGTAGTGACAGTAACTGTATGGTATGTTGCATGAACTCTGTGGTATTTTGGTGGAAACTATGGTTGCCATGAGACATTTTTGTAAGGGCTATTAATAGCAGCTATGTCAAGAGTGGCTTATCTGACTGTGAGGCTGCAGTGAGCCATATTTATCAGGTCTCTGTCATTAGCCTGTTGCTGGTACTGGCTGGGTGTTTCACTCCGCAACGTAAGATAAAGTAGACCAGCCATTTATTAATGTTCGTGAGATTGTGTAGGATGGTGTTGTACGTGGCAGAATTTAAGAAGCAATAAGAGAGGTTAAAATCATGCAACCTACAATACAAATTCATATACATTTATTTATTTTGCTGGTGAATTGCAGCAATTGGTAAACACCTCAGCAGATGAGTAGAGTTAAAGGTCAATGAGGTTTTACCACATTATGTGTTTGCATACATATAGATATCTGAGGTTGACTACATTTGCGGTTAGCAGTGCTTGCGTACAGAATGTCAGATGAAAGCTTTATAGGACTGAGTACTTCATAAAGACAATTATGTACATGTCTTTATGGGGTCTGTGTATCTGTTCATGAAAGACATCTATTGTAAATCCCTAATGTATTTTTTAAAAAAAAATGAATTGTGATTATTTCCCACAACAGTATAGCCACTGCACTCTTTTTTGTGTTTATATGAGCATCTCTGACGTGTGTATGTGTGATTGGCAGAGTGTGTGTTTGTTGGTGCATTAAAAAGATACAAATGCAGTAGACTGGAGCAGATAAATAATTAAATATTACAAAATAAAAGGCAGGAATAAAATAGTAAGAATAGTGAGACATAGGACTTGCTGAGCATGCTGACCCTTCCTCCAAATCCATGATCAGGGGAGAGTTCTTCTCTAAAGACCACTGAAATGTCTACATTCCTTCATCTTTCATCCTCTCATTTGTCTTCCTCTTTTTCATAGTCCATTGCTCCTTTTTTATTGCTTCTTTTGGCTTATTTTTACCTGTTGCACCTGTTCACATATGTTTTCAACTGTGATTGAACCTACATGTTTTGAGCACCGGTATATTGATATTGTTCAGAGTATAATCAACAAAAAGGGCAACTCTAGCTCATATTGAACACCGTATTGATCTGTGTATTCATATATTAATGCTCTTTAGTGCAATACCACATTCATACTTGTAAAACACTCCTCAGACTTCCAGGAAATCAATAATATATGTGATAAATATTAATTAGTTTTATAAGAAATTTCTAAATATCAACCAAAGTCACTCCGAAAGAGAGGCTTATCCTTTAGTTTTGCCCTCTTTGTCATTTTGTATGGCAATTGCGATATGAACAGTCACTCAGTGTAATTCTACTCCTGTCCTGTAGGGCGTCGCTGTGGAGCTCATGCGTTGTACTGCCACTGCTGGCTCTCACTTGGATGTCGGCGGTCCTAGCCATCACTGACCGCCGTTCAGCCTTGTTTCAGATCCTTTTTGCCGTCTTTGACTCCCTCGAGGGCTTCGTTATTGTTATGGTGCATTGCATCCTACGCAGAGAGGTGAGAGAACCTGCCTGATATCTGGTTTCAAATTGGCAGACTTTCTAATTATAGATGCAAATTACATACTTAGACACGTTTTTTTTTTTTTTTACAATCAATTAGGTACAAGAGGCAGTAAAGTGTCGTGTTGTTGACCGTCAAGAGGATGGAAACGGTGACTCTAATGGATCTTTCCAGAACGGCCATGCTCAGCTGATGGTGAATTGCGACTAAATATCTGTATTTCTGTTACACATTAAGCATAAAGTTGTGGTTTAAAGCTCTCATTCTCATTGTTTTCTCCAGACCGACTTTGAAAAGGATGTGGACATGGCTTGTCGATCAGGTGAGTCTCTCACAACATACGCTCCGGTCACTTAAAGTTGTTGTAACAGCCCTCTGAGAGGTTAAGACAAGACAAGTGCCGTTTTACAGGCCACACAATGCATTTTCTTCAAGGAGATTCAGAACACGATCTGATAGCTGGCGTGAAGCAAAATGCAGATAAATAGACTTGTCTGTTCCCCTGCCATGCCTCAGATCTGCCGGCCTGTCCTAATTAAGTCCCTCATGACATTTCATTATCAGATAGCAGCTTTCTTCTCTGATAACTATCGGAAATGGGATTATGATTATTTGTCAAGACGACATATCAAGCTAGCATCTGGAAATAGAGACTTGTGATGTGATATTTTTTGCTTTTTTGAAGTGTGAAGGACTAAAAATTAAGCCTTCAATCAGCCTTCCTTCAGTTAGTTGCTCTAAAGACTTTTCACATGTCTCGCTGAAGCTAAAGTTTAATTCTTGGCTGGATTATTGTGCAAAGCATAATGCGACCCTCAAAGTTCAAACAATATAGAAACTTTGCTTGCTCCTGTTTTCTACTGACCTTTTGTAACGTAGCCAATTATTACCTGATAAATCACATAATGTATAATTAGCTTGCTGGTACTCATGGGAAAATCCAAATAAGAAGAGAGATTGATCCTTTGTGTATTTACACCTTTATAATCTTTGATGATTCTTTTTTTTCTGAAACATATCAAAACAATCTTTAGGACTCGTCAGTTGTAAGTTAAAATACGTTATCTGTTTCATTGGAATTGTACTGTCTATCCTTTCAACTTTCTAGCTCATAAAATTGCTTTTCTGTGAGGTCCAAGTGTCGTCATTAGAGCCTTATAAATTCTGATGCGGGAAACTTGAGTGAACTTGCGGAATCCAGGCATAACAATATAATTTACTGTGTAGTGTGGAATGTCACAGAATTTGCCAAATTTTGGATTAATAAATCAAAAGTAGGGCTGTAAAATTGCGTAAAAGTGTTGACTAGCATCAGTAATTATTAAACGGGAATCTGAAACATAGAATCTGCTTGCCTCTGAGTGAATGAGCGCCATGTTTTCAACTACTGCACATACTTAAACACACATTTGGAATTTTTTAAATAAAAGTTATGTTAAAATGTAAAATAATCACAGAAACTCAGGTCTTCATGGCAGTCTGCCAAAAAAAAAAATCTGGTTAACTCAAAGAAATTATGATAGAAATATATTACTATTGTGTAGTAAAATGTACTTCTGAAAGTCAAAATAATCATCATCATCAAAAATCAATGTTTTGATTTTTATTATTATTAGTAGTATTATTATTATTGTTAATAATGTCATAATCAATATATTTTTATTTTGTTTTCATTTATTAAGTTAATGTATGCTGTGAAAAATTTAAAAACATTTATTGTAAATTAATTATATTTTTATGTGATTTCATTAAATTTAAAGGCACAATGTGTAATTTTCGAAGCTGGAGGGCACGTATTCAAAATAAACAAATAGACAAAGGCATAGTTTGATGACGCCGTGACTAATTAGATATGCTGTTTAATGACTAAAATGGAATGGAATGGTTAAAATGCAAACACAAACACAGATTACTACAGAATACAGAATTTGGAAAACAGTAAAACTGATTTTTAAGGCCCTTTGCAATCACCTGCATTTGTTGGGTTTTGGTCTTTGTTTTTGTTCTATACCATGTTAGACCATGTACCGTATTATTCTTATGATTCAGCAAAGTTTTATTTAAATTAATAACTTCATAATTCGAGCTGATACAAGAGCAGCAAAATGTAGCACTGCTTTATCAAATCAGCATGTGTTTTCTCTGCTGTGACCTCTTTTCACTTACTAAGGCTTATTCCCTTCTGATTTGCAGGCACCCTAAAGCGTTCCTCCCAACAAGGTGAGGAGAAGGTAGCTTCACAGCAGATCACGGTACAGAAAGGCTCCAACTTCAACACTCTTCCTGCCAGCATGGCAAAGGTCCACCTGCAAAACGTCGCTGACTACGCCAGCCACACTCTCACCATGCGCCGCGACAAAGGCGGCATTGCCGGGGTCAGTACCGAGCTACCCGGAGCCAAATCTATTTACATCTGTGACGGCGAGCTCTTCAAGCAACTGGATGGAGCCCAGGGAGACAGCGGCGGTCCCGAAGGAGGAGGAGGTGGGTCGGGCCAGGGTTACGTTCTCTTGCCCAACAACAATAACACCCTTAGGCCCACAAAGGGTGGCAAGGATGACCAAGCCACCAAGTACAACATCAGCATCGAACAGTTACCCCAGACCAGGCTCATCCACCTGGCCAACCCCGCTGGCACCGATCCCGTGCCAGGGTTCGGGTTGAAGAGCCTGCCCACCGACCGAGTCAGCGTTTCCTGCTCAGAGAGGGACTCCCCGGTGCAGACAATGCAGAACATCTCCAGCGAGTCCCAGATGGCAAACACGTGTGAGCAAGGGGACTCTGGGAACTCCGGAATGATGTCTAAGAGTGAGACCATCTCAACACTGTCTATGAGCTCTTTGGAGGTAAGAAACAATGATAATCATGAGATCAAACAATGCAACCCTCTACATTGCGAGCAAATCACTCGCATACGTGACAAAAGTTTGTGCTAGACGACTAAATTATGCATATCATCAGCCACTGGCTAACAATAATTAAAGTAACAATTTTTTTTTTATTTCACTCACCAGTGATTTGAGTTAGAGAACCAAGAACAATAACTATATCAGTGTCCACACCAACGCACAATAGCGTTCTGTTTATTATTTTGTCATTTGCTGCTTTAAATGCTCAAGCTCTTTAAAGCAGGATCGATTCTAATTGGCTGTCAATATTTTTATCACTGTAAAATCACTGTGAAAGTGATTCCAACAATATTGTTCCTTTGTGTCATTATCGTTATAGTTTGAATATAGTGGTGTAAACTCTATTCTTTTACATTTAGAATGATTTTTAAAACTATATATTTTCTATTGACGTTATAGTTATCGTCTTTGGTGTTATGTTTTCACTCACGTACACAAACATTCTGAGCATTTGAGGGGTTTTCCTCTTGCTGGCTTTATAGTGCACTGTTCTTACTGATATCATATAATCATATATAATATCACATGCACTCAAAGAGAGAAAGTGAGAGAGTCGTATATATACCATTAAGAAACAATGAGCTCCATGTAAATGATCCTCTTGTTTTTTCTTGTCAATATGAGTTTGTATGGAATTATTTAAGCAGAAGCCACTCCCAGTTCCTTCAGTAGTGGGTGGAGCTAATGCACAACCGGCAATGTCATTGGCTAGCGCTCACGTATTGCCATCTCCGTTTTGATTTCAGCAAATCAGTTTGAGTGAATGCAGACAATGTGATTAATATTCATAAGCCCAGCAACTCATCATCAGACCTTAGTTCATTTTATATGATTAGTAGTATAATTAGTACACTGTAACAAATTATTTTTCTAAGTTGTAGATAAAACAGAATAATGGAGTGTTTTACAAGAAAATGCCATTTGAGTCTTTCTACTTCAAAATGTAATGTTTAATTCAGTGTCTCTTTGTAAATATTTCTAAAATTTGCTATCTCAGTGAAATTTGTTTATAAAGTAATTTTTCAGTAGTATTATGTTATTAATATTATTGTTAGCTTTATTTACAGAAACATTAAATGGCACAGTCTGGCGAGTGAACTAAAAAACTGGCGATTCTTTTGCTAAGCTGTTTGTAGAGGGTTGCAAAGTGCTATACGTCCTGCACCTGTTTCCTCATTGTAGACAAGCTTGTTTGACTTCATTTTGTCTAAATAATGAAAATGCTCATCACAGTTTGTATTGAAAGATTCACTGCCTAAATGAATCAGAACCCCAGTGACACAACAGCTTTCTAAATGACTATTCATTAACATTTAATGGCAATCAGCGCAAATGTGCTTGCGTCTTACAACTCTGTAGATGCTGGTTTTGCTCTTTTTTTAAATCACGATGTCTTTTCATCCTCATCTTGTACTTTTTTTCTCAGCTGTGATTATTTCTAATAACTGATGGACACTTTGGTTTCTGGTCCAAAGAAACTCGCTGTAGACCCATCTGCCTACAAGGCTGTGAATTTACATCAATGTTTGTCATATCTGCCACAAGGGAGCGAGTGTCCTAATTTGTGTGCGGAGTGAAAAAAGCATGTTTGTGGAGAGAGAGGACTGTCATTACGTGGCTCAGAGTTACATTTCAACTGACATCAGCCAATGCACATGCACTCGCTTTCAATAAAAACTGCGTCAAAACACTTAATAGAATCAAAAATATGCAGTTTCAAAAAGGAAAGAATGAAAGAAGGCTACATAAATGATGCCTCTTTGCATTTGCAGTTATCCCTCTTAGAAAAGAAAGTATCTGCAAAGGTCAGATTTTGCTCATGCTTTAAAAGGGAGCAGATGACAAGCGTGGATTCCTCCTCACCTCAGGCCAAACATGCTCCCAGAATGCACTGTGGGCGCACAGCTGCAGCCACGCACAGCGCAGGCAGAATGTCAGACTGCCCTCAGACGCTCTCCGACAGGCTAAAGAAAGGCCATTCGGTCACAAGCTGTTTACCGCACGCTCATGCCAGGAGCTCGGCGGAAACGTGCAATATAAAAGCGGCACAATGCTTTCACAAAATCTGTCCAAAGTGCCCGAAATTTTACAATCAATTTTTCTCTGCTTATTGCATTTGGGTCATTCTCAAACAGTATTGACTTACAAAATATTACAAAATGTTAAGTGTTTAAATTAAATTCAGTTTGTTTTCCATATATTAATTATTAAGGATTTATTAGGATTTATTACATTTTATTCATTTATTATCTTGACATTACTACTAATCACAAGACACAACTTGATTTTGTTACTTTCTGTATTTTCAAAATCAAAATAGCTTAAATTTATACTGAAATTATTTAAAATCTTAATTGCTTTTATATTAGTTGCTTTAAATGTTAATTTATTTAACATATTAATTTAATATTAAATTATATTTTGTATTTTGCACTGATGTTTAAACAAAAAAAATTTATTACATTGTTATATTTATAAAATTATATTAGTATTTGATTTTTTTTTTTTTCATTTTTATTTGCTCTAAAGTTAATTGTTTTACATTTTTGAACTTGAACTAGAAAAACAAAATTAGTATAAATAGTAAATATATAAATAATGTATACCAGAAAGAAAGGATTGTTCAAGATTAAACTATTATGTACAGTATTGAAATGATGTCTTTTATATGGAGTTTCTTGACATATATGAAGTTTTCTTATGACTGAAAAGTCTAAGGACATGTTTGTCACTATATTTTGGGAATGACCCATTTGCTGGTTTCCCCCCAAGACAACTCTGAAAGGACACACAATAACATCCTTTTCTTATTTGCCCTTTTAGAGAAGAAAATCACGCTATGCAGAGCTGGACTTTGAGGTCAGTGTAATGTAAATCTTTCCACAAATGACAGCAGTCTTGTGTGGTGCAGTTTCATTCATCTCTGCAAAGGTTTAAATGCGGGTTTTGTCTTGCAGAAGATCATGCATACACGGAAGCGCCACCAGGACATGTTCCAGGACTTAAACAGGAAGCTGCAGCATGCAGAGAAGGACAGAGATTCTCCCCCAGTAGACGGGAAGACTGGGAAGAGATGGAGCGTGTCGTCAGGAGGCAGCGATAAAACCAATCTTAGTGTACGAACTTATACTTATCACTCCCCCTCCTTTTCTATTTGTCATTAAGAGGATCTCATGAAAAAAAAAAAAAGATATTTCGTACCAAAATCAAAAGAAAATATACACTACCAGTCAAAATTTTAGAATAACTACGATTGTTTGAAAAAAAGACTCTAATGCTCATCAAGGCTGCGTTTATTTGATAAAAAACACAGTAAAAACAACAATATTGTGAAATATTATTACAAATTAAAATTTTCTATGCAAATCTTTTTTTTAAATGCTATTTATTCACGTGACGACAAAGCTGAATTTTCAGCAGCCATTACTCCGGTCTTCAGTATCACATGGTCCTTCAAAAATCATTCTAATAAAACATTAAAACATTGAAAATTATTTTAGAATTTTTACCAGTAGTGTAAATTATACTTTGCATTAAGAAATTGGAGTGTGCAGGTTTTGTATATAGAGTTTATAATATAATATAATAAATGAAAATGTATTTAAAAATAATTATTGTTAATGCAGGGCAAGCAGCATATAATTAAATTCAGTTCAGTTTTTCTATATTAATCTATTTGAAATTGTATTAAATTTGATTCGTGTTTTTTTTATCTTGACATTACTAATTATAATACATACTGTAGCTTAATTCCTTTGTACATTTTTTTTTGTTAATTTCGTTTAGTTTTTTTTACTTTTTGTATTATCAAAATCTAACTAACTTTATATTGACCCAAAGACATGAAATGAATTACTTATATTTTTCAATAATAATAATAATAATGTAATAATAAGTCCTGATAATAATATTAATTTTCGTCTAGGTCGATAGCCTCATAGGCAGCACTTCGACAAGTATAGTGTGGTTGCACTTCTGGTGACCTGATTTTGCACCGAACTAGGACGTTACTTGACATTTTACACCCTAAAATATTATTATTATTATTGTTAATGCAGGACAAGCAGCAGACCCCCAGTAAGCGGGCGTGGGAGGGCATCAGGAAGAGCCACTCACCACCGTCATGGTTGCGTAAGGAGCTGGAGCCTCTACAGGCCTCTCCTTTGGAAATGCAAGTGGTGGAATGGGAGAAGGCCAGCGCCACCATCCCTCTGGTGGGCCAAGAGATCATGGACCTGCAGACGGAGGTTTGAGAGACCCCCAGAGAATTCAGAGAAACAGAACAAACTCTACTCGCAGGAAAAAGGGACAAAGAAAGGGAATGAGATTTGAGAGAGCGGACAAACAAAAGTATGCAAGAAAGAGAGAGAAAGCAACATGGATGTGCAATTTTCATTTGTGTTGTTTTGTTTTTTTGTAATCCTGGAATGGCCTTTTCCTTAATGTCAAAGCGAATCATAACACTTTCGAAAGGTCTGAGCCTGTTGCTGTGGTAATGAGCTGGCGCTACCAAGAACGGCTGAACTGGGCAAGTTGAATGCTGGGAGTGACTGACTGAAGGGAAGGACTGGAATTCAGAATAAGAGCAGATGAGCCTTAGTGAGTGGCCTTCAATTTCTTACACCTCTGGATACACACACAACACACATATTAGTGATCATGTCACATTTATGGAAGACAGAGAAGTAGCGCTACAACAGAACGCTTTCAAACTGTCCGGTAGGAATCAGGTGAGCTACACGTCATTCAAAATCAAATTCTTGAATATTATTAGTCTTATTATCATCGTTGTTGATCAGTGTGACACAGAGGCGACGTGATTGCCCAAAGCCATTTGACTGTTAATCTGTCTCAAATGCCCTTCTGAGCCAGTACAGCCCACTGCTTCACCACTGTGCTGTCCCGTGCACCACACCGACCTCGGGATCCTTTGAAAGTCAGTCGATGCCGAAGCGACTTCAGCATAAGATTCAGCTCGGAAGCGGGTCAGTGGTCCAGCTGGTGGGTTCATGAGAGAGACCTGAAACAAATTGCTGAGTCTCAGAATGCGTGCAGAATCATGCTGTACAGCATTGTAATTATTTCCTGAAGAGTTCAACAAAATGAATTTTAGCCTATAAATATCTTTCTTACTGTGCTTGGGGAATATTGTTAACATTATTATAGATATCATTGCGATTCTGAGACCCCCCAAGGGTTAGATGTCGTATTTATGGCACTGTGAAACTTTTTGACGTCTCGTCGGCTGCAGATAGATAGATAGATAGAGTTGGATGATAGATAGATAGATAGATAGATAGATATTAGATAGATAGATGATGATGGATGGATGGATGGATGTTTTTTTTTTATTAATTTTCAAAAATTATGTTTTTTATTATGTTATGTTTTATTGTGTTAGTATTTTTAGTTTTTTTTTTAACCTAATCAAAATAGCCCAACTGCAGTTTGATTGAGATTAATTGGAATGCACAATGAAAAAACATGATTTTCGAAAATGTAAAAAAATGGAGTAATCTGTTTTGCAAATGAACTCTTCAAATATATCAATAAAAGTTCATTCAACACATTAATAAATACTACAGTATATAAATAACACTAAAATAACACTGTGCTCTTTGCGCTGCATTTTCATCTGATGAGCCTATAAATCCACTGATAAAGATTTAACCAATCATAAATGCTTGTGATAATGAATGTGTATTATTATTCCATTAAAAGAATACATTAGGATTGGAGTCATGGGAATGTAGTGGGAGGGAAAATGTGGCCATGCTGCAAATGGAGGACATTAATTTCATGTCACCACAGAGCGACCCAGTGTCCTGAACCTAATTGTGTCAACATTAGTTACTCAACACTTTTTTAATACATCACTGCTTGCAATAAACTAGAAAGATTAATATTATAGAAAATAGATCCGTACAATGCATGTTAATAGATCCACTGCTGCTACAATAACAAATAGTATTGATGAATTACATATGAAATACATTGTAAATGAATAATTAAACATAAGAGAGACAAGAAGAAGAGACAATATTAGAACTGTTATATTAGTTGCAGTAGTAAAGTGTAATAATAAATAGTGCATAAAAATATATCACATTGATGTTATAAACATTTGACAATTTTATTAACATTATTAGAAATTTAAGGTATGGCCTAAAATTGAATTTGCAAACATGCTCAATTATTTTTAAAAGGTTCATGTATTCTGTAAATATGATTTGTGTAAACAAAATTGTACGACAAACCGGAGACAAACATAAACACAGCTGAGAGGGTAAATAACAGCAGAGGAATATCAAAGTAATAATTAAATGAACATAACCCCACTGGCTTTGTCTCATTGCTGTGTGTTAATTTTTTATAATGGGTTCACTAATGCATGAGGACATCTGTTTAAAAGTTTCCCCATATACTGAAGCACAGTAATCAGAACTGTTTAGACCAATAAACAAGCCCATGGAGCCTGTGTAATGCAGCAGTTACAGTACTGCTAAACACCTTTCATATGTTTATGAGGTGTTTGCTATAGGACCTCCGTATCCTGTGTCTGCTAGAAAGATGCGCTGAAGAACACGATGTTCTAATTAAACACCTTGAGCTAACGAAGCGTGTTAAGATAACGACTGAACCAACAGCTGGATGTTTATTTCATAGGGACATAAGAAAGCATGTTCTGCCGAGATAATTATGCATTGACCTTTGATTTGGAGAGAACCTTATGGAATGTTTTGATTCCACCGTCTAATTAAATAAGTAGTAGTAAGCTGCACTATATGTCATGAAGCTTCAGGTTATTTAGTTGGAAGTGACTGGTGGATACTTTGATTCATTTTAGGCTGTTGCAAATGTCAGTCATGCGAGATAATTTGGCAACTTGCATGACTGACATTTTATCATAAACATCCAATAGGCCAACAGCATTAAAAAAAAACATGATAACCCATGTATACAAACTAAATGCAAGTCTGGATTCATTTTGAAATAGCATGGAGTGCAGCACTATGGGAAGTCAGATAATAGACTACAGCTTATCACCCATCCGTCTGTCAGTCATTGCTTCTGTGTACTGTATATTTCTCAAACGCTTTCCACATATTGCTAAGAGAGAGATTTGCCATTGTTTGAAAATACTCTGGTGCTCTGTATAGTGTTTTCTGCAACATTGCATTATTTGAATAATTGACTTTTTGGACTAGTTTATTGTAAACAGTCCTTTAGTGAGACAAATGATTTTAAATGTATATCAGTTATTTGAGGTCGTAAAAGACACTTGCATAAAATATGCATATAAATGTTATATAATAGTTTTAGATGGCAAATAGGACTTGTTAGTAGAATACATTACCTAGTGTGTGCAATCCAACAGATTACATTAATGACTACAATTTTTTACAATTTTTATTTTCATCATTAATGGACTATAATTTGTAAAATTTTAATTCTATCGTTTGCTGTAGTATGTCAGTAGGAAATATCAGTTTACATTTCCATTTAAGTCATATTATAACATCTAAATAGCAAGTTACCTTCTTTGAAGCCTTACATGGCATATGTGTGTGTTCCAGAGATGTGCTTTCAGTCATGCCAGATGAGGCCTAATTAAATATAATCTGGATTCAATTATATGGAAATCACCATTCTCAGTATTCCAGCCGTGCAATTTTGCTCCATATGTGTTTGTTCATCAGGTAAAATTGACAAAATTACTTGGAAAGCACTCACTGCTGTCTTTCTCATTAGTTTTCATCTGATGCAGCTCCGTCAATAAATCCATGCAACTTTATATTGCACCTTTCATGCAGTGCAATAACAGCGCCAAAAGGGATTTCAAATAAATCAATAAATAACGAGAAAAGTTTGTCTAATCAACATTTAACATTTCAAATGATTACATGTATACTACCGTAAGTTAGGGGTCAGTAAGATTATTATTTTATTTTTACTTTTATTTTACTCAATTTATTCATGAATTTAATATAACTAAATTATTTAAAAGTGACAATAAAAAAAATATGCTGCAAAAACTCAGCAACAAAAAAATGTAAGTCCTGGACTGTGGAGGCAAAATTCATCATGCAACATTTCTAAAATAATGAAAGTAATTAACTATATTAAATCATTTTAAAGTAAGATCTGATACACTTTCCTCATTGCATCTGGTTTAACAACATTAAAAACTACTAAATTAGCTTCCTGAAGTGGTAAATGATACAATAACAGTCTAAAATGCATCATTTTCAAATGTTCTGTTTATATCCACCCTAACTGATGATACTTTTCTAGGGAACACTGCCAACTTATCACATTTAATGCCTGGGATTATGTCAGGATGACTTCTAAGAGAGGCGTTTAGAAGCCTGTCAGTGGTCCAGAAAAGCACCCTTGGGGTGTTCTGGTTCTCAGAGACCAATTTAGTGAAATGAGCATACCAGCTCGATCTAATTGCATTATTAAAAATAGATAGGTGCTGTCTGAAGGTATCAAAATTGACTTGCAGCTTCATCTTCCTCTATTTATATGCAGCTCTTCAGCAGTTTCTCCTGAAGTTGATATTTTAATTCATTCATTTACGGAGTTTGTAAGCAGGAAGCCGGAGAAGCAGTGAGATTGTTTCAGTCAAACAAAATGCAAAAAGAGTCTGCTTCAAAGTAATAACTGTTAACAAGCCAATGTATACTACTGATCAAAAGCGTAATTATCTTTTAAGTCTCTTATGATCACTAAGGCTGCATTTATTTGATCAAAAATACAGTTAAAAAACGTAATATTGTGAAATATTGCAGTTTAAAAGAACTTCCTTTTCTTTTCAGACATTAGTCTATGTAATCTTTCAGAAATCATATTATGCTGATTTGGTCCATTATTATTGGTACTCAATTATTAATAATGGTTCTTGCTATTATCAATGTTAAAAACAGTTCTTGCTGCATAATATTTTTGTGAAAACCATGATATATTTTTTTCAGGATTCTTCAATAACTATAAAGTTCAGCATTTATTTGACAGAAATCTTTTGTAATAAATGTCTTGTATAAATGTCTTTACTGTCATTTTTAGTCAAAGGAATGCATAGAATATAAGTATTAATTTCTCTTTTTTTAAATCTGTATTACCCCAAACCTTTGAATTGTGATGTATCAAAAACAGTTATTTTAAATTGTAATAATATTTCTCAATATTACTGTTTTTACTCTATTCAGTCATGCCAGATGAGGCCTAACTGAGACTTGGTGAGACTTCTTCCAAAACATTAACAATT